TTTAAATCAATAGATGATATTATTTTGTATTTTTTACAATAATCATTATTCTTATATGATCTTAATTATATATATAATTTTTTACGATATTAGCATGTCACACGGTATAACAGCTAAGAATGCATCACTTACTATATCGAGCTTATCATTTACTTGGAAGTGTATATACTAAAATTAAAGTTTGTCAAAACAAGATTAAAATATTGACAATTATATATAAGTGTGTGTATACATACACAGGGCCGGTTCTAAGCATGTCTAACATGTACGATTGCACAGGACCCCCAATTTTTAGGGGACCCCCTATTTTAAAAAAAAAAAATTATGTATATATAATATACATGATTTAAGGTTAAGTGCAGGGAGATTGGACCAATTTGTGATAAGGTGAAATTGAGCCAAATGGGCAATTATTTTATAAACCCAAAAAAAAAATATGTATGTGTGTGTGCGCGCGCGCACGCTAAAATTATTTAGAGAGATTTTATCAAAAGAAAATATAGGGGCAGTGAGTATATTGAATTCATTGAAATAGATGAGTTGTTTTCCAAATGCTACTATTGCATATCGAATATTATTGACTATCCCAATTACTATTGCCTCTTCAAAAATGAATTTTTCAAAGTTGAAATTGTTGAAATCTTACTTACGATCAAGTATGTTGAAAAAGGGACTCAATGAAATAGTTTAATCTCCATTGAAAATGAACTTTTGGAAGAAGTTGATATCAAAAGTTTGGTAAATCATTTTGCGTCTAAATGTGCACGATGCATGTATTCACTTTTTAAATGAAATTTTAGATATATTTAAACACAATATTTATATTTTGATACAACTTTTTGAACAACTATTATTTATATATAGAAATTACTTAAAAAGATGACCCCAAATTAAAATTTAACAGAGGGCCCCAATTTTTATTGGAAGGCTCTGTACATACACGGCCAATTAACTTCCTATAAAAATGAACATTTTATCAGATGATATGATGTATTATATTCTGAGTATGGAAAACCATTATCCGGGTTAGAAGGTATCCCATGTAATGGTGCAAACAATTAACTAACGTAAGAATTGCGACTTTTCCTAAGTATATCATTGGTTGGTCCCAAAAAGAATTCAAATTTTGTGTAAGTAACAAAACTCACCAAAAATGAACAAATGGGTAATACTATGAAGGCAAACAGCTGGAAGATTTTGTGGTTCCAGCAAATTCCGATGTATGGGTCTTACTGTGAACCCTAATTAACGTCAGCCAATGGATTTTGATCGTGGCCAATGGTCTCAATAAGGTATTTTCACCGACAAGAATTTTGTAGAGTTAAAGTGTAATACTTATGAGGATAAGCGTGATACTCTTGATAAAAATATAATAATAGTTTTAAATAAAAAATATAATATTATGGGTTAAAAAGTTACTTATGATGAAAATTGTAATACTTATTAGGAACACGATCTATCTCACGAATGAGGTTATGACTTATGAGAGTCCGTGAGACGGTCTCTTAGAAGATTTTGCCTTTTATTATTTGAAGTACTATTTTTTTTTTTTTTAATAATAGTCTCTTGGATCAAATAAAAACAATGTTGCATGAGAGAATATAATTAAGAAACACTCAGAGTCGTCGATCTAAGAAGATTTAATGACTTTACAGTAAGGAGAGTGGAAAAAATACAATGACATTTTCGTAAATAACTCAATTTTAAAGTGCAATTAACAACATTATAAAATGCAGCTAACAACATTATAGAGTACACCGGTCATATGTACAAGTGTGATGAACATATGTACTATGTAACTTTGGTTAGCTTAGAAGCACTTTATAGTGTTACAAATTACAAGTTTCACTATAAAGTTTGAGTTATTTTTTTTTTTTTGGGAAAATGGTCAAATAGGCCCTCAAACTTTTTCTAAAGAGTCAATTAGTCCCTTCAACTTTTTACAGGTGCAATTACACCCATGAACAATGTATTTTGATGCAATGAAACCCAAATACAGGTAAATGACCTGCTATCATAGGTCATTGAAGATCCGGTGTATTTCCGACGTATTTTTTGACAAAAAGTGACCGGCGACCGGTCGCCAATCACAGATAAGACAACCACTGGTTTCCTTCTCCAGCGATCGCCTTCTCCGGTTGAGAAAATCACCACAGTGGTGCCCTTTTCAACTGGATAAGGCAACCCAGATTTGGGTTCTGGGTTGCCTTCTCCGGCGAGATGGTGACCACAGTGGTCGCCTTTTCGTCCAGAGAAAGCAACACAATCTGGGTTGCCTTTTCCAGTTGAGAAGGCCACCAATGTGGTGGCCTTCTCAACCGGAGAAGGCGATCGTCGGAGAAGGCAACCAGTGGTTGCCGTGACCGACAACCGGTCGCCGGTCACTTTTTGTTGAAAAATACGTCGGAAATACGCCGGATCTTCAATAACCTACGATAGCAGGTCATTTACCTATATTTGGGGTTCATTGCATCAAAATGCATTGTTCGTGAGTGTAATTGCCCCTTTAAAAATTTGGAGGGGCTAATTGACTCTTTAGCAAAAGTTTGAGGGCCTATTTGACCCTTTTCCTTTTTTTTTTTTTTTTTTTTTTTTTTTTTTTAAAAAGTCACCACATTTTTCAAGAAATGCATTATGTAGCTTTGCTTAATTTCACTTTGTAGTATTAAAAGTTTCACTTTATAGTGTTACTACACTTTAAAGACTGAGTTATTTACAAAAATTTCACCGTATTTTTTTTTCTAATTGCTTCAGATCTGTTAGATCTTTTAAAATTGACAACTCTGATCGATTTTTAATTCACTCTTGATGAACCGTTCACACACACATTTCCGTCCACTTTAAAATCGAAATCCTGCTATTTCCGTCCAACGAAAGTTGGACGGAAAACGGGGGTTATTGGTCGGAAACTCGGTTTCCGACCAACATTCCGTCCAAATCGAGGGCCCGGAAAAATGAACATCGGTAATTCCGTCCAACATGACATGTTGGTCGGAAGTCTCGACCAACAGGTCCAAGTTGGACGGAAAATCCGGATAATAACCTAGGGGTGGGCACTTCGGTTCGGTTTATCCGAACCGAACCGGACTAGTAATAGAAAATCGAACGGTTCGGGATTTTGTAACCCGAACGGTTTAGTACCGAGCTGAAACCGAAACCGAAACCGAACGGTTTGGCAAAAACCGAACCGAACCGAATGCTATATAATTTTTTTAATAAATAATAATAATAATAATAATAATAATAATAATAATAATAATAATAATAATAATAATAATAATAATAATAATAATAATAATAATAATAAAAGAAGTAAATCCAAGTTCCTTGATGTCTGCTCCGCCGTTCAGTTCTCATTCTTACTGGTACCGAACCATACATTTTTTTTTTTATTTCTTTATAGCTTGTTTTCTACATTGCACTTTTGTTGTTTGTCGCAATTGTTCTTTACCTCACAATTATATCTAACTTGAGTTATATTTACAATATTCAGTATTTTCCTTAGTTTCATGTTTTTCTATAAATTTAATGTGTTTTACAGTCATTCTAATTTTGATTTCCAGTGCACTATAATTATTTTCTAGTACTGGAATATATTTCGAGTGCCCTAGCAATGATAGATTGTTTCCAAAAATTAACTATATAGTAATTGACACTAGTTCTTTTAATATCAACTATACAGATAGATGATTATTCATTTTATCAATAAAAATCAATGTTGCAAAAAACGTTAGGCACCCCCTAGGCGCCAAGGGGGCGCCTAGCGCCTAAGGCGCCGATTTTTTTTTTAATTAAAAATTTTCAAAATTTAGTAATAAAACATAAGATTTTCATAGTTATTTCTTAGAAACTATTTACGAAAGTGGTTGTAAATTTGTTCAAAAGATTGTTTAAACCATCTAAATACATAAAAAAACTAAAATTAAGAGCTAAAGAAGCATTTTTTTGAGAAATTAGTGGACCAAACCGAGTCAAAAGTTATGCCTCCCGGAACTTTTCCCACATTTTCAAAAAAAAAAAAAAAAAAAAAAAAAACATTTCACGAACCGGTCGTTTAGGCGGCCGGCCGCGGAGGAGGCCGCCGAGGCCATTCCTTGCGGCGGCCTCCCACCGCCTAGCGCCTAGGCGCCGATTTTGCAACACTGATAAAAATATTCCAACTGAGCCAACTGAAGAGTCGATTGTGCAAAAACGTTAACTGATGTTTGGTAATTAGTACTTAGTATTGTGTTTGAACTTTGGATTACTATTTTGTTATATAATGTTTAGAGTTTGAATTAGAATTATGTGAATATGTATTGTTTGATAGTATGTTCGAAAAATTAGAAAATGTTGAAATTTGGGGATCTTAAACCGAAGCGAATTAAATCCGAACCGAACCCTAATGTTAAACCGAATGGTTTAACTTTTTTAAAACCGAAAAACCGAAATCGAAAAAAACTGAACCGAAACCCGAAACGCCCATCCCTATAATAACCCACCATTTTTAGAATGGGAATTTCCGTCCAACTTTGACCCGTTGGAAGATAATCCGGATGGTAACCACCATTTCTTAAATGTGATTTCCGTCCAACTTTGACCCATTAGACAGTAATTCCAACCAACCGGTTGGTCAGAAATTGTGACTAACGTTGACCTTTTGGACGGAAATTTCGCATGATAATCCACCATTTTTAGAATGGGATTTTCCGTCCAATTTTGAGCGGTTGGATGAAAATTACCACCAATAGCTCTATTGGTCGGAAATTGGCAGGAGAATTTAAATTATTAATTTTTATTTTTTTTTTTGTATTTTGATCTTGCTATAATTTGGTTTTACCTCTTGTCAATATAATCTATATGATCAACAAAGTAATATACATAGTATCTAAATTCACAACAAAAATATTTAAATATATAAAGTTATTTACAACAAAAAGATAGTTTAGTGTGTATAAATATTTAAGCAGTGCAGTATATTGTCATACACACCAAAAAAGAGTCATACAAACATGAAGTACTCAATCTTCATCAGAAGCAGCTTGTGTTTCATCATTTAGTGAGCTGGAGTTGAACATCTCAGGATTTGCACTGAATTGTGCAAATATAGCACCCATCTTTGCAAGTTCTTCTTTGATAATCTTGTTTTCTTCCTGAAACATTTTATTTTCTTCTCTCATTTGTTGAATTTCTGCCATCAAAGTTGCATTTGAAGATGACGCTCCAGCCTGAGATTTTGATTTCTTTGAAGCTTCAGAAAAATAGTGTTGCGTATCCGAGCCAAAGCCATATACTTTGCCTCCCCTCTTTACACCACCGGTGGCTTCCAACCACAGCTCTACATCTGATGCATCAGTCTGAGTCTGTCGCAATTCACTCATTGTATCCTATAAAATAAGATATACACATATTGAGACAGAATGTTGCCAAGGGAGAAAGAAGAATAAGAATAGGAATACTCAATTCAGACATATACACATATATTACAACTTAATTAGAAGCTCTTAGCATGAATCAAAAATTAGAGTTCGGAGTCCAATAAAAAGTACCATACGAAGTACACATTAAGTATTATTTACTTTTACCACCCCAATCAGCAAAAATAACAAGAAAGGTTAGAATCTACAAAACATGGAAAGACTTAAGCTGGCAAGAAAATATTAAACAAAAATTGTGGAAACTAAGGGCACACCGAATCATTTATCATGTGTAAGAGCTCAGTTTCTGGGTAGCTTAAAGCAAGAGGGACAGCTACACCTCCGCAAAAACAAGTCCCCACTATTCCAGCAACAAACTCATCACAGGGTTTAGCCAAAATTGGACCAGTAGTTAATGTGAAGCTACTGGCATCAATCAAGGTGATATATATATATATGTACCAAGTCTTATTTAGAAGATCTTAGCATGAATCAAGGTGAAGCTGTTGGCATCAATCAAGAATTGCAGTAGTTAATGCTTATATTAATTGCAGTTATATGGACTCTGTATGTAATCCTACTTTTCTAAAACAAAGTATTTTCATTTACTAAAATAATTTAATGTGACACTTTTAATAGAGCTAGGTTATATTAGAAAAGATTCTTACCACAACTTTTTGAGCTTTTGCATAAACATATGCTCCATCTCCATTTTTCCGTTTATGAGTGTGTTGATACAACTCTGCAAGACTTGGATCTTTTTCAAATTTTTCTTTCTATTCAAGAATAATGCAACATATTTAGTATAATTTTATAAGTAAGCTATTTTAATTTTATTTTTTTCTTCAAACTTACCAGTCTTCGGCGATGTTCAGTCATAGTAATAGAACCACAACTGTGAAGCGATGCACCTAGTCCTCCAGAATTTGAATTTTTATTAATCTTGTTTTTCTCCAAGAGTTTTTTGAAATCATCACTTTTCAAAATGCGGACCAACTCATCTAGCACATCATTAGGAATCCAATGTGGTTTGTCTTTGTTTGTTGACAAGCCCACGCGAACCTGTCGCAGATGATCTGTAAGGAGCTTTGCAGCTCTTTCTCAAAGATGCAATGTACAGTATTCTCCTCTAGTGGATCCCATCTATAATTTTTCTATAATCATAAAAACAGAAAATTAGCAAACAAGTAATGTTTTACTGAAAAAACACAGTTATGTAACCACTCAACAGAAACAACACAACACTATATCCTGTAAGTATGCACAACAATGGCTCTAGACTTTATTACAAAGTAGTAACTAATCACTAGACACTTCCCACATCTCATAGAGAAACTTTACCAACTTAGCATTGTAACTTGGGATTATGCATTGCAAATCAATATGTAGGGAGTGGGCTATATGCATATAACTTCATTCCACCTACCCACTGAATAATCTGTACAAAGAAGCTAACAACTAAGAAACTTCAATAAAATCCAAAAAACAAAACAGTCATTATTGACACATCTAAAAGTTATCCACCCAGGCAAACAGATCTTGACCATCCACACTATCCACCACCAACACTAGTCAACTAATCTTTTACCTATTCCACAACACCCCCAAAAGCATCCCAGTTCAATACATCGTTTTCTCACAAATTTTTTTTTTAAAAAAATCAACTACCATAAAAAGGGTTAATGAGTGGATTGCTAATAACAGTTCAACAGCAAATAGGCTAATAAACCGTTTAAAATAGGCTAACAAAATGTTTAACAGTTCAATATATCGTTAACAGTTCAACAGCAAATAGGCTAATAACATAATAGTTTAACAGTTCAATACATCGTTACCTGGTAGGGTTATATGAAGGATCCCAGAGGACACATATCATCACCAATAGCAAATAGGCTAATAAAATCCAGTTGCATGCCTGCGAAAATGAATATGTTAGCACTTGGTGAGATTTCACCATTTCTCGTTACTCTGAGTAAAGAAACAGAAGAGAAATGAGGGAAGAAAACCTCATAACCTATCCAGGCAACACAAAGCAGAACTGAAATGGCAAGAGCATTGACATCTTGTATTCTCAACTCTTTAGCCCTAAAACATTAGCGGGAGATTTCCCCCCTAGATTTTGTTTCTGGCGGGCTCCACTAGATTTTGCCTCCCAAATTTGCTAGGGAAAATGGCACTTTTTTCCCCTGTGTTGTTTACATATAGTATATTTTCCCCCTGTGTTGTTTATGTAACCACTTTATCCCCCTCAATTATTTTTGAAGTGGCTATTTTCCCCCCTCTCCGTTAAATAAGTGTTAGGGCTGTTAAATATGAGGGTAAAAATGACATTTCATTTATTATTATTATTATTATTATTATTATTATTATTATTATTATTATTATTATTATTATTAAAATATAATAAACTATGTTAACATTTCTTTAAATTAATACTCCGTATAATTTAACTTTTTTATTTTTAATTTTTTAAAAATATTATTAAACACAAAAAAATTAATTTAACAATTTAAAAAATTGACGAAGTAACTAAAAAAGAGTTAAATTAATTAATAAATTATAAATAAGATAAGTAAGATGAGACAGAGAAAATAAGCACTGTCATTAAAAAAAAAACAAAATATGATTTAAGCACATAATAATAATAATAATAATAATAATAATAATAATAATAATAATAATAATAATAATAATAATAATAATAATAATAATAATAATAATAATAATAACAATAATAATAACAATAATAACAATAATAACAATAATAATAACAATAATAATAATAATAAGTGAAATGCCATTTTTATCCTATATTTAACAGCCCTAACACTTATTTAACGGAGAGGGAGGAAAATAGCCACTTCAAAAACAATTAAGGGGAATAAAGTGGTTACATAAACAACACAGGGGGGAAATATGCTATATGTAAACAACACAGGGGGAAAAAGTGACATTTTCCCAATTTGCTAAGTATTCCTTTTATATGGGGATAAATACCGCAATAATGACTTCTCCCCTTTTTATCTAATAATAATAATAATAATGATGATGATGATGATGATGATGATGATGATGATGATGATGATGATGATGATGATGATGATGATGATGATGATGATGATGATGATGATGATGATGATGATGATGATGATGATGATGATGATGATGATGATGATGATGATGATGATGATGATGATGATGATGATGATGATGATGATGATGATGATGATGATGATGATGATGATGATGATGATGATGATGATGATGATGATGATGATGATGATGATGATGATGATGATGATGATGATGATGATGATGTATCTTAATCGAATTAGCTTTAAAAAAAGCATAAAAAGTAAAATAAAAAATAACATTAAAAAAGTTGTAGGACCAATCACTCATCTTCTCCATCATCAGTATCTTCAAAAACAACTTCTTGATCAGTTTCTTCACTATCATCCTCTATTTCATTTTGTTCATCTAGCCCATCAAGACCTCCAATTGTGTCGACTTCAACTTCAGTCAAAGCAAGTGGAACATGTAATAATTCTTCTGTCTCCTCTTAAACTACACTCACATCATTTGTTGGCACATGTATGTTATCTTGTTGATAAGTCTCAGTGTGCTTATAAGCATTATTATCGATGGTTCCTCTTGGTCTAACATTTAAAACAACCCACCAATTCAATTTTTCCCTTATACTTCTAGGATATGGAATATAACACACTTGACATGCATTTTGTGCAATTATAAAAGGATCATACTTCCTATATCATTTCCTACAATGAACCTCCACAAGACCACTATCAGAATTCAATTTTGTACCTGTATTTGGGGTTGGGTCAAACCATTTGCAATTAAAAAGCACCACCTTCTTTAATGGAATATTTGGATACTCCACTTCAATAATCTCTTTCAAAGTGCCAAAGAAAAGTGAATAACCATGTGACAAACTTGTTCCCTTTATGGATACTCCAAAATTATTTGTTGCCTTTCTAATACAATGTTGTTCAGTTTGGAACTTGAAACCATTAACCACATACTCGTTGTATGTAATGGCTTGCATTAGTGGGCCACATGCCAAATCAATCAAGGCTTGATTTCCCACATTATTTGCAGGATTGTATACATGCCAAGTTCAATTGTTAAAAGATGTTTATAGCATATATATGAATAAAAAATAAAAAAAAAATTTAAAACATATTACATAATCTCTAAACCAGCTTGCAAAACTCCTCTCAACTTCCTGGTCAATCTCCTCATTAGTGGCACCTGGATTATACTGGCGTAAACCTGTCTCATACAACCTACAATGACAAAATTTGTAATTAGTCAAAACACAATAATGCATATTGATGAACATCTTCAGACAATAATGCATACCGTAAAATTGGTTGAACATCTTCACAGTTAAGTAATATATATTGATGAGCTGTGAATCGCTCTTTGGTGTCCAAATATCTTTGACCTTTTGCGCCGATTGGACGACCTGGTCGATTGAAAATGGATAAAGTTGTAGGCAAATTCGGGTGAATTCCACCATCATTCAAATTTCGACCAATGCGTGTCCTCCTACTTTGTACATGATCTTCAAAGTAAAATGAAGTGAAATGTGTTGTCTCTTCAATCAAGTATGCATCACATATCAACCCTTCAACATATCTCTTATTCTTCATTTTAGATTTCAGATGGTTAATGAACCTTTCAAATGGATACATCCAGCGATATTGGACTGGTCCACCTAAATGTGCTTCATCAGCCAAGTGTATAGGCAAGTGTTCCATGCAATCAAACATCGCTGGAGGAAAAATACGCTCTAACTTGCAGAGTATAAGGACAATAGAAGTTTTCATTTCATTCAACGTGTCGACCCTGAGATTAGTTGAGCATAGATTTTGAAAAAAAGTGCTTAACTCAACTAAAGCCTTCCAGTGTGATTTTGGTAAAAAGAAAAAGGCAATTGGCAAAAGACGCTACATAAAAATGTGGCAATCATGACTTTTCAACCCACATAATTTTGAACACGTTGAATCTACACAGTTACTTATATTTGAAGAAAATCCATCAGGTAATTTTAGAATTTTTAACCACTCATAAACAGCAATCTGATGATCTCGGCTCAAACTGTAGCTCGCCTTTGGCATAAGATATCGTCCATTATGTTCCACCAATTCCAACTGTGGCCTATGACATAAATCCTTTATATCCAAACGAGCAGCAGGTGTGTCTTTGTTTTTCCTTGTTCCTTTAACATCAATAACCAATATGGTAAATCTCAGAAGATACTTCTTTTCTTCCAATTATGTGAACCCTTCAAGTCGACCGATTGGGCTATCAGTAATCTTTAGGAACATCATTACAGTAGCCAACAATTCTTCTCCTGTCCAAATCCTCGGGGGTCTTGACTTCTCTACCCGTTGTTTGATGAAAGAATCATGATTTTTTCTAAAGGGATGATCCATTGGAAGAAATTGTCGATGACAATCAAACCAACATGTCTTACGCCCATTCTTTAAATAAAAAGATTTAGTGCAATAATTGCAATAAGGACATGCTAGTTTCCCGCGGTTTGCCATCCAGATAACATACCGTAAGCAGGAAAGTCATTGATGGTCCACATCAACATAGCTCGCATCATAAAGTTTTGCTTTAACGAGACATCATAAGTTAAAACTCCTATCTCCCATAGCAATTGCAACTCATTGATTAAAGGTTGTAGATACACATCAATATTGGTCTTTGGGTTGTGCTCCCCAGGAATAATACAAGTTAAAAATGTATATGGGGGAGTCATGCACATTGAAGGTGGAAGATTATATGGAACAACCATAACTGGCCAACAAGAATATGATTTAGCATTTAAACCAAATGGAGAAAAGCCATCAGAACACAAACCTAATATGAAATTACGAGGATCTGCTGCAAAGTCAGGATATTGACTATCAAAGTGTTTCCATGCCTCACCATCAGAAGGATGACACATAACACCTGGTTGGCGACGATTTTCATAATGCCATCTCATGTGCTCAACAGAACTAGGTGATGCATACAATCGCTGCAATCTAGGGATGAGTGGTAAGTAATGCATCCTTTTCTTGGGCACTTCTTTCCCACGAGTACAATTAGGTGGAGTGGTTTAAAATGAGGCTCACCACAAAACTTACACTGTCTATCATTGATATCAGACTTATAGTATAACATGCAGCTATTAACACAACAATCAATCTTCTCATGATCAAGACCAAGCTTTGAGATCAATTTCTTTGAATCGTAATACCTAGACGGTACTCGATTATCTGGACCCATTATATGCTTATTGAACTCAAATATTTCATCCATTGCTAGTTGCGGAATGTTATAGCTTGCCTTTATATTCATCATCTTAAGTGCATATGACAACTCTGTTTCCTCAGCACAAGTAGGGGATAAAGGTTGCCTAGCAGTGCTTAATAAATCATAAAAGTTTTGTGCACTTGTATGTGGATCTTCTTCTTGGTTATTTTGCACATTAAATGGAATAAATGGTGAACCACCTACATCAAACACCATTGTTTCATAATGATTGTTTTCATTACGTGTCTCTGGAAATTGTTCATTTACTGTGGGAATAGGCTCACCGTGAGACGTCCATACCCAATAATACGGTTCAAATCCCTTCTTATACAAGTGAACACGGGCTTCATCAGCACTATTCTTGCATTTACTACATGAATATCTAATTTGTATTTGTCGACTTGTATACTGTAAGTGTGCATGCATAATTAACAAATTCATCAACACCAGCTAAAAATTCATCAATGTATCCTCTCTTTCCCGGTAACAATCGATTATACATCCATTTTCGATGTTCTGGTATACTATCCATATATGCCTAGTATAAAAATACAAATATCTCAAAATCACAAAAATATTACACACACACACACACACACACACACACACACACACACACACACACACACACACACACACACACACACACACACACACACACACACTGTTATTATTATTATTATACACGCACAAACATTGTTTATATATATATATATATATATATATATATATATATATATATATATATATATATATATAACACTCACTACTGGAAATTATGAAATTTTCGACCACTTGAAAGTGATCTTAAATCTAATTGATACCAAAAAGTGGTCGGAAATAGCAACAAAGGTTTTTCCGGATACCAAAATTGGTCAGAACAAGGCTTTCGACTTGATTTAAGATCACTTTTAGGTGGTCGGAAATTCCATAATTTTCAGTAGTGACTGTTATTTTAAATTTGTAAGTAAATAACAACTCAAAATCACAAAAACTATCCATATACTATACACAAAGGATTTTATATAATAACATTGCAATTGTATGTTCATATACTATACACAAACACAAATTAAAAGTTATTATTTTTAAATAATACCTGAATTTAGAATATATTTTGTCGAAAATAACACTAGATGTTGTTATCCATGCTAATTTTGAACAAAGAAGCAAATTTTTACAATGGAGAAAAGTTGAAGAAAATAAGCTGAAATGCACAGGTTGAACCTTAAAGATTCAATCCGTCCAACATTTTGTTGGACGGTAATTAGTAATACCTACCAGTTTCTATTTCACCTACCTGTCAATTCAATTTTCCGTCCAACGTGCAACCGTTGGACGGTACTGACCAACATTTTTTGTAGGTCGGAACTTCCGTCCAACGCACGACTGTTGGACGGAATATTCGCCCAATTTTCCTTCCACTTCTATTTACAACAAAAAGTTGTGATTTTTTGCAAATTACCGACCAACATTGTTATTGAACGGAAATGTTGGACAAAAATAGACAAATTTCCAGCAGTGATACACACATGCACACACACGCATACACACATAAACCCTTAACAATTGATAAAATGTCATCATCCTCGTGGATATGAAAATAAAAACGAAGACAAAAATCATTTTTAAGTTGTTAGCTAGAATATATAGGTAGTTAAATTCAACAATTTTTTTTTAAGATAGTATTTAGGGGGCGTTTGGTTCAGGTCATCTGAATCTGGCATTGTTATATTACCTTTTTTGGTTCAAGTTATGAGATTACTAGGTAATGTTATATTACTTGAAAGCTGATGTGGCGGTAATGTTTCAAGGTAATGTGATTACCCCCATTTTTTTTAGGTAATCTTAGATTACCTTGAATTATTCCAATTTTACCCTTGTTAACTAATCTTTATATAATAATAATAATAATAATAATAATAATAATAATAATAATAATAATAATAATAATAGTGATAATAATAATAATAATAATAATAATAATGATGAAATTAATATATGTTTATATAATTAAATATACATATGTGTATATATTTATATATTTAGTTTTTTTTTTAATATTTAAGTTTTGATATACATTCATAGATATAAATAAACAAAAAACACACATAATATATATATATATATATATATATATATATATATATATATATATATATATATATATATATATATATATATATATATATGAAAAAGTTCAAATGTGGCGCGCGGGGTCTTCCCGTGTGGCCATAATACACCAACAATGTTAACAATATGCACCAATAGTGTAAGGAAACACACCACAATGAAATGCAATAAAACATCAAAAAATACACAACAGAGCCCAAAAAATACACCATATAACTCACCACCCCCAATGGGGTATTTTCGAATACTGTATGGTGTTTTTACTCACACCTAATGTGTGTGTTTGGTGATGCGTACCTAATATCTCTCTGTTTTCTGTGGTGTATTTCCTAACGTTGATGGTGTATATTTGTTGAACTATTGGTGATGCCGCACCGTCGCACCATAAGACACCGCCGCACCTGAACTCGCCTATATATATATATATATATATATATATATATATATATATATATATATATATATATATATATATATATATATATAGAGAGAGAGAGAGAGAGAGAGAGAGAGAAAATTTCAATTTTGGTCATACGACTATAGGGGCCTTGTTAATTTCAACACCTAACTTTCAAAAGTATCAATTCAGTACCTTGAGTATATAATTTTTCTCAATTTTGGTCATTCCGACCAATTTACCGGTCAAATTCGACCAGAAAAAATAATAGGCACAAAACTGAGGGGCAAATGAGTCTTTTCCTCCTCCTCCTCTCGGCTGCTTCATCTCGGCTTCATCTTCTCCTCCGCCGTCGCCGACCACGGCTGCTTTCCGGTTTCCCCCGCCGCCGGACCTCCGGTTTCCTCCTCTTGGAGCGGCGTTGGGTTTAGAAGAACCAGAGAAGAGAAGCGTCGACCAAACGCACAGGCTTTGCGCCAGGGGGCATTGGAGACCTCACGAAGATGGCAGGCTGCGAGAGCTCGTTGCTAAGCACGGCCCGCAGAACTGGAACCTGATTGCTGAAAAGATTCCTAGGAGATCAGGTACGTAGATACGATGATTAATTAAGGAATCATATATAATTAGTTGGTTAAGTGTTTGTTGATTAAGTTAAGATTGGAAATGAAATGGAACAGGGAAGAGCTGCAGATTGAGGTGGTTCAACCAGCTGGACCCGAGGATAAACACGAAGGCGTTCACGGAGGAGGAAGAGGAGAGGCTACGGGCGGCGCACGGCAGAGGAGAAGATGATCAGGGCGGTCGTGGTCGGCGACGGCGGAGGAGAAGATGAAGCCGAGATGAAGCAGCCGAGAGGAGGAGGAGGAAAAGGCTCATTTGCCCCTCAGTTTTGTGCCTATTATTTTTTCCGGTCGAATTTGACCGGTAAATTGGTCGGAATGACCAAAATTGAGAAAAATTATATACTCAAGGTACTGAATTGATACTTTTGAAAGTTAGGTGTTGAAATTAACAAGGCCCCTATAGTCGTATGACCAAAATTGAAATTTTCTCTATATATATATATATTATTGAGGGCATTATTGTAAATTGATCCATATAGCCTAAAATATAACCCTGAACCAAACAAGGTAATATTATATTACACCATCCAAACCAAACACACAAGGTAATCTTACATTCCCAAAATCTCACATTACCTTCTAGGAGGTAATCCTATTACCTGGGGTAATCCAAGATTCCGTGATATTGTTGTTTGAGAATAAAATATATAACATTATGCCTTTATATGTTTTAATATGTTAACTGATAATATTAAAAAAGTAATTTGATCAAATAACATTTCTATAAATAGTTATGCAATTCACTATCAAAATCGATAACATAATTCTGTATTTACAATCCTACTAACAGCTAATACGCTAGTTGTCAAAACCATGTCTTAAACGAATAATATTTATTTTTAAAAAAATAAAATTCTTAAATTACTAGTTTAATATAGAAGTCCTATATTTGGACTCACCAAACAGCTAAACACAACGTTTCAAATACGTTTGAAATGGACTCGGAAGACTTTGGGCAATATTTTATGACTATATTAACAATTTAGGAATGGAAATATTCTTCATATTCGAGATTTGACAAGTGAAAACTGTAATTTTTATATTTATTTACAATATAAATTACGTGTTATTTATGGCAGATTTAGATTCCATAAATTAATTGATTCTATCCCAAGTGAAATTTATGACGAGCATTTAAAAATAAAATATTAAATTAAATACTTTTTCCATGTCAAAAAAGTATTTTATTTTATCACTAAGGAACAAAAATACGGAGTAATATTCTTTAGAAATTCTATGCACTTTAATTTTCCGACCAAACAGCCAAACTCCCCAAGTCCGTTCAATTTTGTTCTTTCAAAAAATAAATTTAAAAGTTTATTTTACTTTTTATTCTTTAATTATAATAATGTTTTCATTTTTATTTCTCAATTTAATTTGTTTCACTTTTAACTTTTCTATGTTAAAAATGATTAACTTTTTAGTTTAAAATATTCAAAATACCTTTTGTAGCATGTTTGGTTAAAGGGAAATTGGAGCTCCTTTCTCGCTTAAATTTTGGAAAATGAAAATTTTCATAATTTGGTCGAAAGGAAATGCAAATCCTACACCTACACCCACTAAGAATTGCAATACTATGTTGCAAAGACTAAATTGTCCTTCACTAATAATCTTACATCATTTTCTAAGATTTACAATATTATGGGCATTTTTGTCTTTATATTACTTATTCCCTTTTAATTCTCACTTAAACCAAACACTATAATACAAAATTATACGGAGTAGTAATTATATTTCCACCAACCAAATAATAAAATTTGAATTTCTATTTTAATTTGATTTACGAGACAGCCTGCTATGTGAAGGTGCACTATTGGTAAAGCCCGTGTTGTGACCTAGCCGACAAAAGATTACATGAAGATAAACTAGTCTGGATTGTTCATAATTAGTGTTGCAAAAATTACGCCTAGGTGCTAGGCGATCGGCCTACTAGGCAGGGCGCTCTAGGCGGTCCCCAAGCACTTAGCGATTTTTTCAACATTGTTCATAATTGACCGGTTCAATACGAGAGACTAACAGGCTTCTTCTGCTCTCACTAAGAATTAAACTTGAAACATGATAGTTAGCAAACTAATCATCCAACCAATTCGGTTGGGTTGGCCCCATTCCTACTTTTATTCATGTTTCATGGAATTGCTAATTCCTTCATCGCAATCAATCATTATGTAAATATACCAAATGATGTTTTTTTTATAATGAAATGAGAATATTATAAAAACTAAAAATAAAATATGCTTTTCATAAACAGAGATTAAAGATGAAATAAATTTAAATTAATGAAATAAACTCTAATTATCCAAAATTGAATGAAAAGATGGGGTATGAGACAAAATTATCAAAAATTCCAAATTTGTCAATCGGAGTAAAGCCGGAGAGATGCGCGCGCACTTCGCAGTCTTGTGGGCCCTACCACAATACGATTCCTTCTCCTTCACCTTCTTCTCCCTCACTGAACTGTGAAGTCTCTGTTTCAGAATTTCTCTGATTTTCTTTTTTCTCTTTCTAAAGTCGATTGGTACATTTCTCTGAGAGAGAGAGAGAGAATCCATGATCGGGAAGTTTGATATGCAAACAACATTTCCACGTATAATCTTCTAGTGTATATATCATTTGCATTTGCATTTTTGAGGTTTTTTTTTGGTTGTTTGTATTGTATACAGAGGAAATATGGCTACGCCGCCTCCGAGAACGGCGCCGGGTCCAACGTCGCCGCCGTCGCCACCAACCAACACTACCACTCCTCCGCCTTCTGCGGGGACGCCGCCGCCACTGTCCCCTCCACCACAAGCGCCTCCACCCGCTACCCCGCCGCCGACCTCTCCTCCGCCCACGCCACCTTCAACTCCAGCTCCTTCCGTCTCTCCGCCGCCGCCAGCAACGCCGTCTGCGCCTGCTCCGACGTCTGGGCCTCCTTCCCCACCTCCTCCGTCGTCCCCATCGCCTCATTCGCCACCCTCCACCAGCCCACCTCCTCCGCCGTCCGAGTCTCCCCCATCGCCACCTTCGCCGCCGTCGGAGTCTCCCCCATCGCCACCTTCGCCGCCGTCCGAGTCTCCCCCATCGCCACCTTCGCCGCCGTCTGAGTCCCCCCCATCGCCTCCTTCCCACTCTTCTCCAGGGTTGCCTCCGCCGTCGCCGCCGCATAGAAAACCTCCTCCAGCACCTACTCCGACATCGCCGCCGCCGTCGGATAGTGGAATCTCGACGGGTTTGGTGGTCGGAATTGCCGTCGGCGGAGTGTTGATATTGGCCGTACTGAGTTTGATATTTATATGCTGTAGAAAGAGAAAGAGAAGACCGGTAGATTACTATGTTCCTCCACCTCCGCCACCCAAAGGTCATAACTTTTTCCTCCATTCTTGAAAAGCTTTGATTTTTATATGCCTTTTTGCTTTTCTTGCCTCATGAAATTCATTTATTATTATTTTTTTTCATTTTCCCATAAGAGTTCTTATAATGCAGCAGAGAGATTGAAGATTTGTATTGAGTGAATTATCTAAAAAAAACTGCAGATTTCCCCCTTTTGATTCTTTTCATTTGGCATTTTGAATCTGTATTAGAGAGTTCAGCAACGGGGTTTAGGATTAGTCTAGTGTAAGTTGGAAAAACCTAAACGGGGTATAGGATTAGTCTGTCGTAAGCTGAAAACCCTAATGTATTAAACAAAATGGTATTTGCAGGTAATGAATATGGTGGCCCTGCACAGCAATGGCAACAAAATGGTCCACCACCTCGGGATCTCGAAGTTGCAATTCCTCCGAAGCCTTCTCTATCACCTCCAGGGGCATCGTGGCCTCCACAGAGCAGTGGTGGGACTTCGTCGAATTATTCAGGGACTTCGAATCCACTTTTACCTCCTTCACCGGGGATGGCCTTAAGTATGTCGAAAAGCACGTTCACGTATGAGGAATTGGCGAAGGCGACCGATGGGTTCTCGGATGCAAACCTTCTTGGGCAAGGCGGTTTTGGGTATGTGCATAAAGGGGTCCTTACGGGTGGAAGAGAGGTTGCGGTTAAGCAACTGAAGGATGGGAGTGGACAGGGTGATCGCGAGTTTCGGGCAGAGGTTGAGATCATTAGCAGAGTCCATCACAAACATCTTGTTTCTTTGATTGGATATTGCATCGTTGGGTCTCAGAGATTGCTCGTCTATGAATTCGTCCCGAATAACACCATGGAATTCCACTTACATGGTCAGATTTGAGCTTCTTCTCCTGAAGTATTTACCAAATATGTCGTTTTATGGCTTCTGAAATGGCTCCTTACAAAGACTTGAATGTTCCAGGAAATGGAAGGCCTCCCTTGGAGTGGCACATGCGATTGAAGATCGCTTTAGGTGCTGCAAAAGGACTGGCATATCTCCACGAGGACTGTAAGTTCTTTGTTGCATTTATTCTCTTCTTTTTTCGTGTGTTGAAAGTAATTTTGTCTTAAAATTCAATGTCACGCAGGTCAACCCAAAATCATTCACCGCGATATCAAATCAGCCAATATACTTCTTGATTTCAACTTTGAGGCAAAGGTGTTCTTCTTATGCCTTGTGCAACTTTAGTCTCGTCTTTGCTTTGTGATCAATTTCTCAAACAATGTTAGCCATCTGTGATTCAAGTGATATCTTTCAAGAATCAAGATGATATGTTTATTATACTAATGAACATGCATTGTTCATTCCTTCAGGTAGCAGATTTTGGACTTGCGAAATTAACTTCTGATGCCAACACTCATGTCTCCACTCGAGTAATGGGCACATTTGGGTAACACCATTTTCTTTGTGCTGCTTTGCAATTATTGGCTATTTTGAGATTTTGGAGTGTTAAGACTCCCACATCTATAAAATAAGAGAGAATATATGAGTTTATAATGCCATGGGTTAGACTAGCTAATTGGTTGAATTCAATCTTTTAGTGTAATTTGACCCATGTTCATAATAGCCTAATTGAGTGATCAACCCACAGCGGGGTAACTTGCCCCCACTCTTATTAGTTATATATATTACCACTTTTTAAGTATTACTTCTCCATTTTTGTAATGAATTTTGATCATATTTGCATAAATCTTGGGATCACATTTAGGTATTTGGCCCCAGAATATGCTTCTTCAGGAAAACTTACTGAGAAATCGGATGTATTCTCATTTGGGGTAATGCTTCTAGAGCTGATTACCGGGCGTCGACCCTTTGACTCCAAACAAACTTTCATGGATGATAGCATGTTAGATTGGGTGAGTGGTTTATTTGATGGTTTTTCCGAGTTGTTTTCACTTTGGCTAGCCTTTGCTTTCGGTTTCTGTTGTTGCTTATTTATGACATTAACTAATAGCTTTCCCGAATGCTTACAGGCAAGGCCAATTCTCATTCGATCTCTCGAGGAAGGAAACTTTGATGCCCTTGTGGATCCACGGCTAGGAAGTGATTACGACCGCAATGAAATGGGTAGAATGGTTGCTTGCGTAGCTGCTTGTGTGCGCCATTCGGCTAAGCTTCGACCTAGAATGTCTCAGGTTTAACTCATGTCCTTATAAACTCATATATTCTCTCTTATTTTATCAATGTGGGACTCTGGCGAATTTTTGAAGTGAATGTGGTTAAAACTGAGCAGGTTGTAAGGGCATTGGAAGGAGATGTTTCCTTGTCAGATCTTAATGAAGGAATAGCACCGGGGCACAGCACAACATACAGTTCATATGGAAGTTCAGACTATGATACCGTGCAATACAACGACGACATGAAGAAGTTCAGGAAGACGGCGTTGGGAAGCCAGGAATACGGCAGTACTGGTCAGTACAGCAACCCAACCAGTGAATTCGGCTTAAATCCATCGAGCTCGAGCAGTGAAGGCCAAAATACTGGGGAAATGGTAAGTAGGCTGAAGAAAGATAGTAGAGGGTTCACTTGAAGTAGAGGGTTAAGTTTCAGTTCTTGTTCTTGATAGCAGACAGACAATACCATTTCTCTATATGAGAATTTGGAGAATAAGCTTAGTACCACAGTGTTATCATAATAATTCAGTGTTTTTCTCCCTTTGGTTACAACTATCTTACTAATTAATTGATTATTAGTAGTATGCTCTGATCCTAAATTGAAATAACTCCATTGTTGCAAAAATACCACATAGGCACCGATTAATGGGTGCCTAGGCGCTGGCCGCCTGGCTGGCTGCCTAGCGTATTACCATAATCGGTAGTCTAGGTGGTCGACCGCCTAAATGCCGCATAGTCTGCCTAGGAGCTGACCGCCTAGGTTTCCTAGGTGTTGATTAGGCTTCCTAGACATCGACAAGGCCGCCTAGGTACCGACTAGGTTTCCTAGGCACCGACAAGGCCGCCTAGGTATCGACTAGGTCGCTTAGTCGGGTGATTAGATACTGTTCCTTTAAATGGGTTATTTCACTCCAAACGACATCGTTTTAAACAAAATAACCATATATTGTTTAAACTCGAGATGTTTTTAGGTTAATATTTAATATTTTAGTATTAATTGTTAAAGTATTAAATAGTTTATAATTATCAAGTTTTAAAAAATTAGAAAATTTTAAACAAATTTTTAAAAAATAAAAAATACACGAGCGCCCCAGAAGCGCCCAACGATATTTTCAACCATGATAGACTCATGTGCCAAGTGGTTTTGCATCGCTTATATGCTTTTCCTTAATATATATAGGATATAGGATAGGGGAAAAGATCAAAGATGCAGATGTTACTACTAGTATCTTCAAAAGGATTTAAGCAAATATTATTCCCATAAATAAGATTGACAAGATAAGAAAGAGGCATCTTCATTTGCATTCATCTTTTGGCTCATTTGAAATGGGAACTGAAGCAAAACATTGTTTCCCAGATGCCTCTTTCTGCTGCTGCTCCAACCACGACAAGAACGCGCTATCTAACATGCTAAACATGTTCACATACAGAAGCTGGTATTGAACGGGGACATACCGGAAATTCACAGCTTGAGCAACAGGCCACGCGCTGCTCTCGAGCATTAGAGCAGGCAGGAAATCCCGCTTTATAGTCTCCTTCACTTGGCTGCCACTCTTGCCCGTCGAGAACCCCATGTAAGTGAAGAACAGCAGCAAGTTGAGAGGGCCAAAGACGAGGACATCCACAGCCACTTTCGTTGCGAGGAACTGCAACGAATTTGGCTGCAGTCGAAACTTGAGCTTGATGAATTGGTCCAGACCTTCATACCTGAGGCAAAGGGAATTTCATCATTCTGTTGAGCATATAACCATTAATGTGCAATTCAACTATTAGCTTAGGCTTTTAGTTAAGATGGAGCACATGCTTCAATTCATCAATGGGGGCGAGGTAGATCGATCTCAGATTCGTTTTGTTGACAGGAAACCCTTTGAAAGGAAAGGATTGCTAACCAGAAATGGCCAAACGGTCCAAAGAAGCCAGCGCCATACATGCCTGTGATCCCAACGCGTTTCCTGTCGATTGTAAGATCTTTGTTTGAACCCTGAAATATGAGTAATGGAGTTACCCTGATTCTGCAAGCTCAAAACAAAGAAAGGGGATGATATGATGCATATAAAGAAGAAGCACTCAAGTGCTACTAAGCTTCACTCCATGGATCAGAGTTCACAAACTGCAGCATTTTGGTAACAATGAATGCACCAAAAAAGAGTCCTCCAAGTCACATTTTTGCAAGGTCAAGAATTCCACTCTTACCTTGTACAAATTTGAGGAGTTAATTTCCAAAATGGTCCTCTGACTATGGCCTTTTTTCAAATTGATCCCTTGACTTTTAATTTTTTCAAAGTGGTCTTTCGACTTTTGAATTTTAAGCCAAAATGGTCTTCCGTTAGCTTTGGTGTTTAAATGAAGGGTAAAATTGAAAATTTAGATTTTGCACTCCAATTTAAAGCAATGTGTGATTCTTTTCAGCTGTCTGCATACATATTCTTCAAATTAAGTTTTTGCTCTCCTAAATCTGCAATCAAAATGTGAGATAATCAACTAGAAGGCCAAAAAAGTTAATCTTCAACTTCATCCACAAACTTCCTAAGACAAAGATTTCTAGCCTTCTAGTTGATTATCCCACATTTTGATTGCAGATTAGGAGAGCAAAAATCTAATTTGAAGAAATATGTGCACAGACTGCTGAAAGGAGTCACATATTGCTTTAAATTGGATTTCAAAACCTAAATTTCTAGTTTTACCCTTCATTTTAACATCAACTTACCGCCAAAGCTAACAGATGACCATTTTGGCTTAAAATTCAAAAGTCAGATGACCACGTTGGGGAAATTAAAAGTCAATGGACCAATTTGAGAAAAAGTCATAGTCGGAGGATCATTTTGGGAATTAACTCAATTATAACCATAAGGTTACAAGTTCGACCGCCAGCTAGAGTGACCTATTTGGTTTGAGCCGGTAAACTATGGGCAATCTAAACTGGTTTACCTCCAAAAAAAATCGCTATGCACTCCTCAAACGCCCGTTTTTTTTTTTGTTTTTGTTTTTTTTTTTATTTTTTATACTTTAATAGTTAATACTAAAATATTAAATATTAACCCAAAAAATATCTAAAATTGTAAATTGTATAATAATTTAAAGAATCAAACACAATTCCACAAAGTAACAACTCACAAGGTATTAACTTAGTTCCAAACTTCCAAATCAATTCATAAAATCATAGAGAAAATAATTAAGTTCAAACTCCAAACGATGTCGTTTTGAGTGGTTTAGGGTTATTTTGCTTAAAATGACATCGTTTTGAGCGTAATAACTCATTTAAAAAAAATACAACATTAACTAATCAGCCGACTAAGCAGACGGCCGCCTAAAACACCGATTACGGTGATATTCTAGGCGGTCAGTCAGTGTCTAAACGCTATTTTTTCAACATTAGTTTTAGTTGAGACAAAACACTTAATACTTGAACACAAAACAAAAATGTGAATATCTATAAGAGAGGTCACAGTTATGAGGCCTAGCAAACAGTAAAAGAGGGGAAATTGCAGGTGTGAAGCAGAAAAGCGAAGGCCACGAAGAATGAAGATAAGATTTTGCAAACACAAATTGTGAAAAGGGGGGAAATTACAGAGTCAGAGATGAGAAGGCGTTGTTTCTTGGAAGTGGAGATGGTGATGGATTGAGCAACGACGTCTCCAATAGCCCACAGAACTCCAGAGCTGATGACTTGGGTCTCCAATGGCCGCACGGCCAACCAATTCTGATACCACGTCCACACTCTCAACATTGGGTTTTCTTCTTCTTCCTCCTCCTGCAATGGCGGATACTGGTCTCTCTGAACTGTATTCTGGAATTACGGCCTGGAAAAACCGCTACAAATAGCAATCTGAGTATCTTCTTTGAGATAAACACTTTTTTGTTTGATTCAATATATTAAATTACGTTCCACTGGAATCTCTATGCGCGCATGGGGATAAGAACGCCGCCGCGGAGACACCAATACATTACGCCGATACTATATAGGGAGGGTAGGAGGGAACTAAAATAATAACAACATGTCAAGTACTCTGTAGTCTAATGGCACCAAGTTGCTCAACATAGGAAGTTGTGTAAATTCTCTGTGTTTCATAGATTAAGAAACTAGTTATAAACAGATACTGTATTGTAATAGAGTATTCAAAAAAATAAAAAATTAGAGTGAATAAGATAAAAATATGAAGGTTTCAATTTTTTAAAAAAATTAATTATTTGAAATATGTATTTGTTTGTCAAAAGCATTTTTAAAATACATTTGACATGAAGAAAAATAAAATAAGGGTCAAATATGCCCTCTAACTATAAGTTAAAGTGCAATTAGTTACATGAACTAACAAAAGCTCCAATTAATCCCTTCATCTCTTTAATTGTATGTAATTAAGTCCATAACTTTTTAAATTTGTGCAATTAGCTTAATTTGCAGGTAAACATGAAGTAATAGTAGGTCAAATTGATTTTAAAAAAAAATTATAAAAAATAATAATAATAATAAAAACAAAAAAATTCCGTCCAGTTAACAGAGAAGTCATGGTCGGCTTCTCCGTCAAACTGGACGGAGAAGCCGACCCATTCTCTGTCAACTGGACGGAGAAGCCTGGCGTTTTTTGTTTTTTGTTTTTTTTTTTTGTTTTTTTTTTTGTTTTTAATTAAAAATATATTATTTTAATTTTATTTTTTTTTTAAAAGAAGAAATTACTTGTAACTTAGATGTAACCTGTTAATTAACTTAATTGCACAAAAGTGGAAAGATGGAGGATCTAATTGAAACTTTTGTTAGTTGAAGGGTCTAATTACACATATTTGAAGGGTCTATTTGACCCTTATCCCAAAAAAAATACACATTTCCTACACATTTTTTTTCTAGCATACGACATTTGAATGCAGTTGTATTAACAATCTATTTACTAATTGCTGCGAACGAGTAAGTTATTTCTAACATATATTTTGATATAAATAATTTTTTTGTTATGATTTAAATTTTTTTTTATTTTTGTTCAAGTCATCCCAACTCTTCCCATTCTGGTCAATTTCATAATGACCAAATACTAATTTTGGTCTTACAAGTAAAATGTTTAGTTCTTACCAAATTTTATCCACGACTATTATTTTAGTGTCACAATTCATCACGCCAATCACTCTTTCATTTAAGACATGCCAAAATATAAAATTATTAAGGATATTTTCATCCTTTTCAAATTTAGATCTCAATTTGAGCATGAATAAAAGGAATTTAAGCCCTAAGATTGATCCATATTCGCAGTTCTCCTCAAATTAAAGTAGGATGAGGAGGAGAACTGAGAATATGGATCAATCTTAGGGCTTAAATTCCTTTTATTCATGCTCAAATTGGGATCTAAATTTTAAAATGACAAAAATACCCTTAAAAATTTAGATTTTGACATGTTTTAAACGGAGGGGTGACCGACGTGATGAATTTTGGCACTAAAAAAATAGTCATTGATTAAAATTAGTACTAAAACAATAGTCGTGGAGGAAAATTGGTAGGAATTAAACATTTGAACCAAAACTGTCATTTTGCTAATACTCGTGTGGCCAAAATTGGTATTTGCTCATCATATCATAATATATGTACTTTGACACTTTCTATCTTATTTTACATATCATATTTATTATTTATTAATTAAATTAACTCTTACTTCTTTCTTTATTTTTTAAACATTTTTCCTTACTAAAAAATTAGTCATCTTTTTTTTTTTTCTTTCTTTTGTTTAATAATAGTTTTGATTTAATTTTTAATTATATAAATTTTATATATTAATTCTAAATTAAATATTACAAAACAAATAAATTGTAATAATTTAAGTCCATTTTTTTTAGTACACCCTAAGTCAATCTAAAAAAAATATTAATTAGTGATGACCATGTAATGTGAATATCACTCTCTAAAAAATAGAGATACATACACTTAATATCTTCCTGATAACAAAAGTCTTTTTTTTTTTTTTTTTTTTTTGGACACATCCTACGAAAAGACTTCTCTATTGAAGTTTGAAATTACAATCATTTTTAAAAGAATTAAATAATAACATTATGCTTATTCTTGTGAATTAAGATCGTTCTTCTCGTAATTAATCTTTTGGTGAAAATTTCTTTAGGCATATATGCATTGATAAGACAGAGGGAAAAAGGAAAAACTAAAACAGAGAATATCTAAAAACATAATAAGTATGAATGAAAGTTATATCTTTTATTTATGTTCATTTTTTCGTTACATCTTTTTTATACATTATGTTATAATAACTAACCACATGTAATAGTGTCAGTAATACTAAAAAGAAAAAAAAAAAAAACCAAAACAAAACTAGCCACATAAAAACAAGGGAAAATAACTAACCACGCATTAATGAAATATTCATAACACTTATGCTATATGTTAATTTAATTTATAATAAAGATTGTCCAAAATATTAGATTATTATACAATGTATTATACAATCATAAAAGAAAATGAGTCATCTTAGAGTTTAAATTTACTCATATAAATTTTAAAATTTACATATTTTTTTATTTTTAAATATAATTCTCCTAGTTATTATTCATATATATTATTGGAATTATAACATATATGAAATACAATTAAAAATAAATCAATTTAATTATGTAAGTCTTTTCAATAAATTATTTAAATATATACATGATTAAAGATTATATTAGCTATACACGATTTTGATTTTAATTTTAAGTTTGCATGCCATGAAAATAGATAATTGATCAAATATATGTAAGTCCAACTATATTATTATATTGTATATTTTAATATCTTTCTATTTTTTTTCTAATTTTTTATTTAAATTCATAACAACATAATTTTGTAAAATACTAGTATATGTGTAATATAACTAAACTAATAAGTATAGCTCTCCATATAAATACAAATAAATGACTTTATTTACAAATGAGAGAGTAAAAATTTATAAATAATATCATTGGATCGGAGTTATTATCTACTATCTACTATATATACTAATAAGAGCCCAAGAGAGTTAGGCCTATAATGGGTAGAAAAAATGGCGGTCAAATTTTTTAATCAAATGAATGGCTCAGATTGATCAGATTTTAATTTTTCCTTAAGATTTCCTAATTTATCCTTAATGAATATGATTATCTGTTAATTTTTCCATTAAATATTATCTTTTCCGTTAATTTATGTTAGTTCACCGTTAACTTACTCATTGATTTCAATAAGAAATGTCTTAGGTTCGAACCGCATCCCAATCAAAGTTGGCATAATTAGTACTCGATTTTACTCTTATTAAATTATATAAATAATAATATAGTAGCTACAACAAAAAATAATACATATGCATTTCTTTAATTTAGAATTATGTGTCTACAATGTCTTTATTTAAAAAAAAATTATGCATTATCGATAAATTAAATAAGAGAAATAATTTCATTAGTTATATTGTATTTATTTTTCTCCAATATAAAAATTCTTTACATTCAAATTCATCAATTGATTATATTCGCTATATTGTCCCTACAATGTCTTTATTAAAAAAATTATTCATTATCAATAAATTAATTAAGAGAAATAATTTTATTAGTTATATTATCTTTATATTTCTCCAATGTAAAAATTCTTCACATTCAAATTCATCAATTGATTATATTCACTACATTGTCTATTATCTTTTTGTGCACTATTTTTTAATTAAATATCAAAGTTATAATACAAAATAATGCTATATATTTATTTACCAAGTATTTTATTTATACCATGAAAAAATTTTATTAAAATATAATTAATAAAGTCAATTATATTAACTACTTGAGGGATTTGTTGACAAAGAGAGTATTAAAATCACACAACAAATTCAAGTGAGAATTACCTCGCAATGTCCTTGTTTGACAATCAGTAGTTAGCGGTTAGCGTTAGCGGATTATATTAGCGAATTTGACCAGCAAATTATATCAACGGTTGGTAAAAAGATATTTGAAAAAAATTAGCTGTTTAGATTAACATGTAAAATTTCTAAGGGTATAATAATAATAATAATAATAATAATAATAATAATAATAATAATGATAATAATGATAATGATAATAATGATAATAATGATAATAATGATAATAATAATAATAATAATAATAATAATAATAATAATAATAATAATAATAATAATAATAATAATAATAATAATTGTTATAAAAAATTTAAAATAAAATAAAAAAATATAATTAAGCCAATCATATTAACTACTTGGGGGATTTATTCACAAAAAGAGTATTCAAATCACAACAAATTAAAGTCGGAAACTATCTCGCAATGTCTTTATTTGACAATCAGCAGTTAGTTCTTCAATATTAGTATATATTTAATATTTTATGTCATAATTTTTATTTGGCTTTCCCTTTTGTCCCGTATTTGATTTCAACCATACCTATACAATTATTTTATTGACAATTATAATCAATCTTGACTATATTATCTTGCATTTGTAAACTTGGAATTGCCTATTTAAATACGCAAATTTAACATTCAATTATCTATGCATGAACGATTCCAATATAATATTGCCTTGATATACTTTAAAGTACTTATTAAAAAAAAAAAAAAACATTGGGCATTATCCGAATCGCGCAATGCCAAACACATCAAACAGTCTTGCTAAACTATCAAAGGTTTGGAGCTCGCAAACGTGGAGTAATATATTACACCCGCTCTATTTTACTTGTTTTATTGACTATTTGTTTAATTTATTAAATTGATTGTTTTATTTTATTATTTTCTTATAATTTTGTGGCTAATATCCTTTTCATATACTTCTTAAATATATAAATTTTATTTACTAATGTTAAATTAAATACTACACAAGTTGAATTGTAATTTGTAAATGACTTAAACCAAACTTTTTAAATTGAATTACACATTTAAAATAATAGTTTTTCCTTGTTGGTGATATCTTATCTTATCTTATCTTACTCTAAATAATAGCAAAATATTTTTGCCATG